TACTGGGGGCGAGGGCTGGCTTAGCTGGGTTGTACTGGGGGCGAGGGCTGTCTTAGCTGGGTTGTACCGGGGATTGGGTTATACTGGGAGGGTCTGGGCTAGTTGGGGCAGGGGGAGACTAGGCCAGGGTGGGGGCTTATTTCTGGGGCCATCCTGGCTGAGGGGTCAGGCTGGTTAGGCCAGGGGAGGCGAGGGGTGGGGTGTCAGTTCGGGCTCTGGGGGTGTCGGGCAGGTGGGTGAGCGCAGGGTGCCTCGGGCTGGTGCTCAAAGGACGGAGGAAGGGTTTGAGTGAGGCAGGGGTGGGAGGAGGTCCTGGCAAGGCCCGGTGAAAGGCCCAGCCGTGCAGGGGGAGCCCACCAGCTGTCTGGGCTCTGAGCCTGGTGGCAGCCTGGCCCCCACCTCACCTCCTCTTCTCCTTCCTCTGCCCAACAGCAGAAGACGCCACAATGAGGCTCTACAGCCTAAGTGTCCTTTATAAAGGCGACCCCAAAGTGCATTTACTGAAAGCTGCTTATGACGTGTCCACCTTCAACTTCTTCCAGAGAGCCAGGTGGGTGCCTGGAGTGCCAGATGCCCTGAGGGAGGCTGGAGGTGGGGAGGTAATCTCCTGTGTGCTGCAGGGCTGGCACATGGCTCAAGCAGGACCTTGGGGAGAGGGAGCAGAAGCTTTTGGAGGGTTTTCTCCCCTGTTCTGCTCCTGTGTCACAGGGGTGCAGTGGCAGCAGTGACAGGCTTCTCCTAAGGGATGAACCCACCAGAGACGCTCCTCTGGGAAGCTGTGATCCTGCACACATGGTTCAGTGCTGCAAGATCCACTTTGAGTGATCTTTCAGCCTCAGGAACAGGGAAAAACCTCATTTCCCCTAAGAGCCGATGCCAGGACCAGCCCCAGGAGGTCAGGTTTGACTCAGTAAATCATCCATCATAGCCAAGCAATAAAATCTGGGTTCAGGGAAACACCCCGAGTGCTCGGGTCAGCCACTCTCCCTCCAGCAAGTGCCTAAACCCTGTAGCCATGGCGGCTCCTGCGGTGTGAGAGGCGAGTGGAGGGAGGCTTGTCTTCATGTCAGACTGACAGATCTCGCTTGACACCTTTGCTATCTCTTATTTATGTGTTTGGTCTCATCTTAAAAGTTTTCCAAGCCCACGAACCTCTGCTTGGGTTATTGTAACGGCTTCGGGTGAGCTAGTTCAGCCCTCAACGCCGATCTGGGCTCCAGAGTGTCCTGCTGTCCCCTCTGCACACAGAAAGATCATGGAGCTCACTCAGCAGCTGCCCTTGAGCTTGCAGCTGAGGGGAACTCCAAAAGCCTCTGAAAACTAAAATAAAGCAGGTGCCTATTGCAAAACAGATCGTTTCCCAGCCCCCAGCTCCAGATGATAAAAGCTTTAGGAAATACCGACAGGACTTGAATTTTCCATCCCCCATCCCTGCCAAGATTTTATGGAGCCTCGAGCACGTTTGGTTCTAAAATTCCAGTGATAAAGGGAAAATGCTAAAGTAAGATTGTCTTCAAAAATACTTTCTTGGCCAAATATGCGAGAAGGATAAAGGAGCTGTGCCAGTGCTGCCAACGCACGCACTTGAAGATGGATTGTGGCGGTAAAGTAATCTCTGAAAAGCCCAAATTGCTTTGTAGTTGCAGCTCTGGGTTTTCCAGCTCCTGAGAAAATTCTCTCTGTGGTTTTGCCATCGTCTATGCCGAAAGAGCCGCTTCCCTGGCAGCAGGCGGTTTCTTTGCTTAAAAAAAGCCTTGGTTTTTTGGGAACAGCAATGCTGTTTGTGGAGGGTGAGGGGGTGTCTGTACTCATTAGTCTCTCAGCTTTTTCTCTGGTGGTTAATCATTTGCTGAGCTGTTTCTCTCGTTGCGCTCGGAGGGGCTGCTGGTGCCTGTGAGGGCACGGCCTAGGTGTGATGTTAAGGGTGCGATTCACTTAAATTTGGGTTAAAAATGCTGCGTGTGCATTTTTTTGAGGCTGTGGAGTTACCAAAGAGTTGGGTTTGGGGATAAATCTGGGATAAATGCAGTTGTGGTTCCTGGGAGCTGGGAAAACCTGCTGGGCAGGGGGACGGCGATGGGGTGGTCATGCCAGCACGGGGTGTCTGCTGCCCAACCTCTGCCGAATAATTTGGAAGGGTCAGAAACATGGCGTGAGGGGGTGAGGTCTTTGGTGGCTGATTCCTCCTGGAATACTGTGGATTGTGATGGCTGCGGCTGCCAGCAGATCCCCAGAGCAGGAGGAATGTGTCGATCCTCTGTTTCTGCTGAAGCTGGATGTTAAGAAATCTTTGGGCCAGTTTCTCTGCAGCGCCTGGAAACCCGACAGTTCAGAGTCTCGGTGGAGCCAGCGTCTGATCGCGTGGTGTCCGGGCTGGGGGAAACGCAAAATACCCCCTAAGGAATATGTAAACTGTGAGAGGCAAATCCCTGCTCTGGAGTTGCTTCCTGCAGTGGAAGGCAGCAACGAAACTGTTGTCTTTGCTGTGCCAGTGTCCGTTGATGTTTAGTTGGTGCCACATCACGTGAAAATCCTAAGTGGGAGCTGTTGGTGTTGAGGGGTGCTTGAGCTGACTGTGTTCTGTACTCTGAGATTTCCTTCCTGGGACTTCCCAGCTGAAGTGGGGAATTTGTGTCCTCACATTCGTTATTCCTGGTGTACACTGGGAACACTTATTTTGTGCTTCCCTGTGATTTTGGCCTCTTTTACTGTGGGGTGAAGAGGAGGGTTTACGCAAGAAGCCTGTTTGGCAAGATTTGAGTCTGGGCTCAGGAATGTTTTCCAGACTTAGAGTGAGTCTGGCTTAAGGATGTTCATTAATCTTGACTCAGAGCGGTAGGTAGCTGAGGTGTGTTTGCAGGTTGCTGGTGCCTTGCGTGGGATTCGGGTCAGGCCCCAAGTATGGGATCAAAGCTCAGGTGGGAGAAGGGGCCAGAGCCAGACGTTAGCTGGGCAGATGTGTGGTTCAATGATGTTTTACTTTCTGCTGAAAGGCAAGTTCAGCCCATGGACACAAGTCCCTGGCCACAGCCGGATGGATGTGGGTGCTTCCCTGGGCCCAGTGAAGCTGGAGGTATTTCGATGTTGGCTGCAGGGTCCAGCCTCTCCCCTGAGGACAACACATGGCTCGGCCACATCCCCACGACCTAAACGTGTTGGGAGGGGGGTGTGGGGAAGGGTTTCAGTGCACCCAAAATGCCAAGGACCTGTGGGACAGCTGATCACCCCCAGGGTCACTCCGCCAGCACCCTGTAGCTCTCGGGTCCCCTCGCCGACTCAGGCGCCGACGCTCTGTGTTCGCAGTGTGCAGGAATTCATGACCTTCACGAGCCAGCTGATCGTGGAGCGCTCGGGGCTGGGCAGCAGAGCCTCCGTCAAGGAGCAAGGTAAGAGGATAACCCAGGGTCAGCACGCACAGCTGCACGTGCTTCGTTCCTTGTCCATTTATGATAAAAAACAAGTCCTTGAAACAGCGCCCAGGCGAGCACTGAAGGCGTGAGGTGGCTGAGCTGGGTGAGAGCCCAGCCTGCCCCGTCAGAGAGGCTATGGGCAGAGCAGGGACCTGCCTGACAGCCAGCTGCTGCCTTTGAGCTTTGTAACTCTTCTGCTTGCTGTCCTCGGGATGCTTGGAGCTGCTGGGCTGCATGCCCACCACCCCTCAGCTTTCCTGATTTGTCCCATCCCCAGCCTGCATGGCAGCTGCGGTCCCCCAAGGGGCAGCTGTGCTGGCTCAGCCTCCTTCCCCCCTCCCTTGAGCTCTGCTGGGTGAGTCTGGGCTCTGTACCCCGATCTCTGGCCTCGTCGCCATCCTCCCCACCCAGCTCCACGTGCCTCTGGAACCCTGAGACGCGCAGGGTGTGGCCTGGAGTTGGCTGCTGCGGCCGCTTTAATGATGTTCCAGGCTTGTGACAAGTTGTTATTTATTAAAATCAGACTGCACGCTTCCCCCTCAGGTTTTCATTTAACTCTGGCAGTACCTGCTGACCTAGAAAGTTAGCGTTGTGTCCTATGCCACGTGGCCAGGCTGCAGTAGCCTGCTCAAGTACAATTTGGGTCTGATTTTGATCCTCCCTCGAGCCCTTCCTGCTCTGCTGATGAAATCATGTGGAATGCAGTCGCTGGATAAAACCTGCCCATGTGATTTGTGGCTTGTGGAAGAGCTGCCGGGGCCAGGTGGGAGGTGGTGGGTGCTGGGGGAGGCTGGGGCCTTCCTGCTGCCTCTCTGACATGAGTTCTTTGCCCAGAGTACCTCTGTCACGTGTATGTGCGGAACGACGGGCTGGCTGGAGTGGTGATTGCAGATAACGAGTATCCACAGCGGGTTTGCTTCACCTTGCTGGACAAGGTGAGTGCCCAGGCTGGGAGCTCTTCCACACCTCCTGCTCATGCTGCGACGAGGAAATGACCCTCCTGCTTGTTAGCTGGGGGACATTGTGCTGAGCTGAGCAGGAACCGGCCAGTTCAAAGACTTCCAAGTCGTGCAGTGTCTCGGCTTTGCCCACTTAGGACTTATTCCCAGCTCTGCTCTGCTGCTAGCCCAGGCACTGGCCTGGCAGACACCCCCCATCCTCCCTGTCTGCCTTGGGGTTTATGTGGGAAAACTTGGGTGTGGCCGCGCTCCCAGTGTTGCCAAAAACTTGTGGTTGTGTCTAAGTGCCCTGGCAGGGTGCAGGGCGTTGGGGACAGTCAGGGACAGCCACCCCTACCTGGCATGGGCACTGTGGTGTTCGTTTGCTGAGGAAGTTGGTTCCTGTCTTTTCCCTCAGTTCATTCAAAAGGGAACAAGGAGGAGAAAAATCTTTTTTTTTTTTTTTTAAGGAGAAAATCCCTTCTGCTAGCCGCAGCCCCACAGGCAGTAACTTCCAGCTTCCTTGTGTCTCAGGTGCTGGATGAATTCTCCAGACAGGTCAGCAAAATAGACTGGCCTTCGGGCTCCCCAGCGACAATCAGCTACGCGGCCTTGGACGGGTACCTCAGTAAATACCAGGTACGCCCCTCGGTGCTGCGAGGAGGCTGGGAAATGCTCCCTATGGCCCCCAGCATGGGGGGTGGAAGCATGGGTGACGCCCCGGTGTGTGCTGGGCCACTGGTGCTGCGGCCACGGTGCCGATGCCGTGTTGTTTCTCTCCAAGAATCCCCGCGATGCCGACCCCATGACCAGAGTGCAGGCAGAGCTGGACGAGACCAAAATCATCCTGG